ATAATTGAATTTACATATGCATATAAATTGTTCAACAACAAAGTGGATATTTAACCAGTTTTGATAAATATAAGTATAATTTTGTTGCACCTATATTGAGGATAACATTAGCAATATAAAAATTTAAATACGTATCTATTTATTCAAAAAGTATGGAATAAAAATGAAGTTTATTTTGTTCCAAATTCTTCGTTAGTTACTATCATAGAAAAACTATTTAAAATGATATATAAAGAGGTTTTACATAATTTGTGCGGTATGATAAGTTAAGGAAAATGTTATGACTAAAACAATATGTATTATGTAGGTACATACATGTTATCTATTCTACGAGTGCACTACACGTGCTGTGTATGTTTAATTTTTCAGTTAGTTATTCAAAAAACAATCTTGGTATATATTTTTATATGACGCTAGCTAAATATATAAGCACTATTCTATAAAACGATATATTTTGGAAAGACTACTAGATATTCACATCTCGTCTGCCCGTGATCACGGTTGCTGAAAAGTAACCGAAACAGGAGTATGTAGTTTTTTTATAAAAATCCCGTAGTATATCTGAAAAATATTAGTTTCATTTAAATGAAATGACTATACGTTTGATTTTAGATTAAATTTTTAGGCTTTGATTTAACTTACTAGATGTCTGCATACGGTTCTTCATTGAAGTCTTACAGATTTAGTGTTGGGAATATTCCGCGACAAATGTGCCGGTTGGAATCATTTGGATCAATCAACAAACAGACTTCCTGTAGGGATTTGATGTGATTTGATAATCAACTTTCTGTTGTTATACAAACAGGACATTAATGTTTAATATGTAAATAGGTTAGACTTTGCCTGTCACTGGATAGGTTAGTGTTGTATATTAAAAATATACCGGTTTTCTGACGTTATTTTCCATCACCGATGACTTGGAGGCTCGGAAAATAACCATAACATATTTTAACACACGCATTAACGAACTAGAGAACACAAGAAATGTATATTGACGTAAAACAAGTCCTGTTTTTTAAATTATGAATAAATAACATTTTTTTTCTATAAAAACCGTTTATCTATAAAAACTAGTATTCAAATCAAAATACGTTTAATCTACGTTTATTTATATATATTTCGTTGTTTTAATATATATTTTAATAATATTATTCATAAGTTTAAACTTCCAAGTTTAATTCCAAAGAAAGCTGACGTATGACAAACGTTCTAGAAAGTTTTCCTAGATTTATCACCTCGCCGAGTTAATTATCACAGTTATACGCGATAAAGGAATTAAAAGAGAAATTATATTACACTAGCATTATATAAAAACAAGTATATATCCGTTTTACATACATACATGTGTTATATCCTAGTTCCACTTGTTTTTTCTACATTTTTTATATTATTCTCGGAAATTTCATGTTCCAATTACGTCATGTCATTTCTTAGACTTTTTAGTAAAGTGAGGTCATTTAAGAAATAACATTTGATCAAATATTATGTATTATAATTGTAAACATCTATATTTAATGTATCGTTGTTGTAACAAGTGAAGTCAGTGAGTAAGTTGAATATAAACTCGTTCTGCTATCAATATATTGAAATATTTACTTAAAAGATAAGAAATACATTGTAAAATTTTCAATGCTTAAAAAACAGTATTTTTATGTAATTTTTAGCAAAAATTAAATATAAAACGACAGATTAATAATTAATCCTTAGTTTAGTTTGTTGTATGAATAGTTGTCATATTTTTTTAGTATATTTGTCATATAATAATTTTTAATCCTATAAAATTATTATCGTCATATAATTCTTTATTATATTTACTTTATAAATATATACATATTTAAACTGGCTTCCATATACGAGTACCTTCTACTTTAATCAACTACAGTACTTTAGTAATTCTAGTGCATTTAACGAGCGTTAAGTAGGTGTACTAAGTAGCTGAAAGTGTGTCAGACTTGCCATTGTGTGATCAGATAGGATAAAGTTTCCCTTTGTTGTAACCATAATCTGTTATATGAAAGTTAAAATTTAAACATACAATAAATAGACGTAATTAGAATAGAACACCAAGAAAAACTATTAAATACTGAACATTTTATTTCAAATTATTTTATATGTCTTGACATTGGCTGAATGTAATATTTTTTAATATAAAAGACAAAAATATTAATGAACAGGCATTATGGTTTAAGATCTTTGCCTTAAAAGGACGAATTGACAAAAAAATAAAGATGACATTTGATTTCGACACATTTATTACATTACTAGTTTTTGCCCGCGACTTCGTCCGCGTTAGTTTCGTTATTAGTAATATATGTATAGCTGACCGGGCGAACTCTATTCCGTTTTAGAGGCCATTAATAATCAGGTTTCTTCTGTTTCAATCGAACAGAATGATTGACATATTAGTTAGTTGTCAAATCTAATGTCAAAAAAAACGTCTGTATGGGAAATAGAAAAGGGCTGTTTTTAGGGTTTTCCCGGCAATTATTCCAATTTTTCTCACCTTTTAAACCTTCCCTGGACTCCGAGGAGTATTTCAAGACTAAAATTAGCCAAATCCGTTCAGCTGTTCTCGAGTTTTAGCGAGACTAAGGAACAGCAATCCATTTTTATATATATAGATATAGAAGATATTGGCGGGATCGAATAACAAGATGTTTTGGACGAAATCAGCGTCCAAAGTGTGGGAAGGTAATAACCGTTGACTTCCGCTCCTTAATGATCAATCCTCTTATTCAATTGCACGTATTGTGATCTCCATGACAAAACCCGCCTCTGAGTACCTTGTTCATATTACATGCATACGACGTACTGTTAGATAAAATGTTTGATTTGGTATTTTGAAAGTATTTGTTTATTATCTGCAATACTTCTGAAAATGCTGAAAATTGTAAAATACTAATTTTCTGCTTTACCTTCTTCCAAATACTTTTCTCGTTTAAAGTACTTAATAATTTTCAACCCGAAGTGCCTTACAAAACGTAATTGCGGACAAATCTTAAGTGCATTGGTAACAGAATACGTGTACTTACCTACGTACCTACTTAATTTAGTATTAGATAAAAAAGCAAATCTATAATAAAACATATTGTATTAATACTTTATATTATAATTCAATTATTCTATAAGAAAGAAACATAAATTTTATTGAGTTGTAGCACCATACCTTTTAATATTGTTAGATACATAATTCATACATACATACATATTTCAAAAGTATAATAATTTCTATATGAAAAAAGCGCCATCTATTGGCAAGGTTGAAATCTAGCTGGTTGTACTAAAAAAATATTTACACTTATAAAAGATGGCGTTGTATGTTTTATACTTTAAAAGATAGATGTCGCTACGGGTTCGATTACATTATTTCGGAGTGGGCAATAATTCGACCTTGCGTTATCAGTAATGACGCTGCCTTTGTACGTAAATAGGAGGCACGGCTATGATTAATTTTACACACATTTGATCTATATATAATACCCTCATTCATTATTTACTCATGTATCTTACAATGCAGATGATTAAATAAAGGTACGGCCTCCAATCGTTTATATTGCGAACGAAAAATGCAGACATTAAACCGTTAGAATTTCAGTCAAGTTTACATTCGGTTACATGCATCGGCCATATTAAAAAAAAATATGAATCACGCGATTCTAGCACCTTCTGTGCTAGTATTAACGCATGTAATAAATTGATCACGATCTTTTGTCAAAAATCTTCGGCCAGTGACCGTTGATTTTTTGCTCGATTCATTGTAATCGCTCAATCAGCAATGTACATTGAAAATAAATTAACTTGAAATCTATAGAGATATTTTTCGTCAAATATGGTTATATTAGATAAAAGAGAACTTTAGTATGAGCAATAATAATTATAAGGAAATAAAAAGATCGCAAATTCCCAGACAAACATCTACTCAATGCTTAGTTAATTAATTTAGTGCCGAATTGAGGTTATCGAGGCTTCATTAATGTTTTATTTGGAACACAGAGAGGCCTGTCTTTATTGACAAAATTTTATTAATCATGAGCGTTAGGGAGATAAACTTATCAATTTTATTAATAATTTAAAAAAAACACTTAAAATATTCTATACTTTTTAATATCTATTTTAATCAGTGTACCTTGTAAGGTTTTTTTAATACCTATTAAATAAATTAATAAAATATATATGTAGAAAAAGCTTACTTTAAAGTGCAAGAATGTACAAAAGGTGTGAAAATATATTGAGTACATTATGTATTTATTACATATTAGATATAATATAATATGTGAGATGAAATGTATATTGTAAATTAATAATTGTAGTTGTCAACCATTAACAACATTTTACGTACTTCTTTCCTTGTGTTATATAAAGAACAGTCATGAGTTATCAGTACAACTCATTTTGAGTCTAATTACCATTGTCAAGTGGGTTAAGCTGTTAAATCAAAAGCAAACAGTATGATGATGATGTTGTTTCCTAATTTTATGTCGCAAATTTGTAACAGAACTGAATATTCTGTGACGTCACGATAGATAGTCCGAGCATTGTTTATCCATGCACCATCGATGGGCTTATGTAAGCCTTTTCCTGAGAATTTGTCCTTAAGGTTAAAGTCCTTACTGTAGCAGGTTATGTCGTTTTCAGTACGTATATTATATTTTTATAGCAACACGTGGTTTGTCTTGTTCAGCAAAAACCGAATTTTACAGTATGTTTTGCTAGTCCGAATCTAGGGGTACAATTATTATTACCGATGCAAGTTTTTCAGGGTTTGAAAAAAGAACGCGTGACGTCATAGCACGCCGGCGGCGCGTGTTGCCGGCGCGCCCCCCGGCCCCCGCGCTTTTATTTACGAGACGCGTGGCGGCCGCGTCCAGTATAGCTTCGGAGCTCACGTGCTACTTACCACCTCGCGATGACTTACCATCTCCTCACCACCGTCGCCACCGCCAGCGTGACGTGATCCGTAGTACTCTAGCGTTTTCTTCTGTGTTCTATTCTTTTACAATATGGTTTCGAACCGAGGCACCCACGTGTTGGTCTGGGAGCAGCCCGGCCTTGAGGACCAGAGGCCTAAGAGTTATAGTGGTGAGTCACAATGACGTCACTGGAAAACACCATCACTTAGGTTAGGTTACAGTTAGCTTAACAAATTATAGGATATCATGCCGGCGTATTTAGTTATACATATATGTTATAAGTACTAACTAGATCATATATAACATACGATATAAAGATATATACATATAGGTAATACATGATAGGTAATTAGAATATGAATCAAAGAACATTACGCCGACAGACGATGACGTATGGAGCATGGACTGATTTCATGGAAACATTTAAATAACCTGAACTATGCTGAATATTGTATAGATTTAATTCAATTAATTGACTAATGAACAGGTTGTATATTGATATTATGTAAATTGAGAATATATTGAAAAACACGCGTCAAAGAAAGCCGATAATTAATAACCTCTAAAGTATTCATTGAATACATTATTACCGGTATTTAAAGCGTGTGAGATATGAATTGTAGGAAATTCTATGAAATTTAAACTTTCACGATATACCTATTTCATCTTTTTTTCACGTTCACATGTTTCACTAAATCTGCGGTGACCTCGTTCGGAACAAGAAAACTATGAATTCATTTTACATAACAAGAGTTTTAAAAATTATAATAAACATAATATATTCTATGATTTTAAATTAAACAGCTAACCTTGATATATTCGTCATTACTTAAATTTTACGTCAACTGTTTTATTATTAGGTTATAATATTTCAAATTTATGCGGAAAATTGATTAGTAAATACTTTTTCCCCACATTGGCGTTATACTGGTAGGTAATATAAATTTAATTTTAGTTTTTTTAATAATGTTGCTAATTATACTGAATACCTAGTATATCTACGACTAATTATGACAAATTTAGAATAATTTATTCACGTCAAAATGACCTATTAAAAATTCAACACTCACTGAAATGTTTTATGTTATAAAAAATATATTCTACGAGTTTTTATCATATTTTTATCATAAAACAATTATTATTTTTTACAGTTTGTAATATATATGTCATATTACAATTATTTTGAACTAAATAAAAATTTTAATGCGAAAAAATAGTCCTATAACAATTAATGTGGTATCTGAATTTTTGTCATAATTAAGTTATTGTCTATTATTTGCGTAGCGTCTCCAAGTTTCAAGGTCTTTTTGTAACCTATAAATTATAATTTGAGAAGATTTTTTCAATTTGAGGGCTGTCACAAATAGGTTGATTTAATTTAAATATATTATTTTATTACTTTTATATGAAAACCCATTTTAAAGATAATTTTAATAAATTGGTTGGAAAAATATTTATAAGAAATTATTTTTACAATAATTTATCGTATTCATTATGTATTATTTTTTAAAAATTTTAACCTAAAAAACCCTTAAGTTTTGACATTCTTTACTAAACTTGTAATCATTACATATGTATATAAAAAATCACACCATAAAATTTAAAATACTTTTAAAGAATTTAATTGACTTTTGAATAAATTTGTATAAATAATCTCAGTAGTTGGCAACAAAATTATAAATATAGTAAAATACTTATTATAACATATATTCACAATGAGATCTATCACTGAAATTCATTGTCAGAATATATGAAAAAAAATTCAATGTATGAGTCATGGCGGGCGATAGTACCGCGTTTTGTCAATTTGTTTACTTTCCTTTAATCTGATATAGCGATAAGATATACCGGCTTAGCCAATTTCACGGCTCCTCATTAAAATTACAATGATAATTAAAAATGCTATTGTTATATATTTTTTCTTAAAATTGTATTGTTAAAAAGTTTTTGACTACGCATTGGTCAATAACGCCAATTTCCAACATGGCGAATTTGTATAGTGATAATTGTTTTTTTTTAAACAAGTAAAAAGTTTGTAATAATAAAAAGGTTTTAATCTGTTTATATTCTAAATAATGGCGGATAGTATTACGAACATTTTTCGAAGGACACCCGACCTATTGTTGTTCATACACTGTGACCGTTTTTGTTCATTCCAATAACGCTCAATAAGAAACGAATGGCGCGAAAATTATAAAAAAAATATGGCAGCGATACAAAAAGAGAAATTAGAAAAATATAAAAGCTGAGCGTTATAAATAATAAATCATGTTTATTTCTACTTCAATATTGTTTTATTATATGATGGAATAAAGATAAAGAAATATCGCACTCATGAAACGATGAAAGGACTGTAAAGATTTGAACTGACATGTATGAACTTGTAATGAACGGAATTATTGTACTTCGTCTTATCATTGAGTCGAATAAAATATTTAGATACTGTTACAAAATAAAAAGTGTACATAAACTAACAGCAAAGTATAGACCAGTATATGAAGATATTTTCATAGGAGACGATTTTATTCCTCATTTAATAATGGATACATATAATCTTATATCCCGCCAACATTCATAGACGACGCCTAGACATTGTTACACAATGAATACGTCACAATACAAATGACATTACATTCAACTAACTTAGAGACAATTTTATTTTACCATTATAGCGAATGCTGTAATTGCGACATACTGTGATTAGATAAAGTAATTCGTATGTATTTGACAAATATATCAATTTGGAACTGTTTGCTATGTCCATCTGTACGTTAAATATTGAAACTGAAATTAGTAGTACGAAAATAAATTTTGCATCATACATATGTTAGCATAATACGTCATAGAAAAATTTTTTGCTCATTTACCGTGGTCATTCCACAATAATAGATACACCACACGAAACTATTATATAAATTTGAATAACAAATTATGTTGATTTTTTTTCGAATCTCGTATTCCCAAAAATTCTGAATGCAAAACGGGCTTGTGATAAAAATAAATCAGTCGGTATGGACATTGGCTGAGTGGCGAGTGGACTTTGGCCTCTTGGAATTGTTAAAGAATAGAAAAAAAAAACATAAATATTTCCCGCGTCGCTAACAAGAATTTTAATATTAATTCATATTGTTTATATGAAAGATACTTCTGTGTAGTAATTTATTAGTTTTTGTCATTTCTCCATTACAAATATATGATATATGTGAAATATAACTTTATCTTTACTTATGACTTATTAGCTGATGCTTGAACGCAATTTCATAAAAATATACATGTGTGTGTGTGTGTGTGTGTGTGTATGTGTGTGTGTGTTTGTGTCTGTGTGTGTGTAGTAGTTTACATAGTAATTCTTGTTTTTTCCGTATGTAATGATTCAAGAGTATCTTGATTGTAACACATTAGACCTATTGTACACTTAATAATTATTTGTTATTATTCTTCTTCAAGTTAAATTAAGTAATTAATGAGAAACAATTTTACATAACAATTAACACGCTACGTGACTATAAGCAAAAATTGCTCGTATGATAGGTATTGTCTTTTTAATATGCTCTCGTATTATTATTGTTTTATTAACAAATCAAATGCATATTAATTAGGAAATAAGTGTAGAGTAAATTAAATAGAGATATTAAAGATAGTTTCTTTGTATATACTACTTGTTTTTTAACTTGAAATGAACTTAATATACATATATTAGTTATATTCAAGTCTTTGTAATTTTGCCTCAGGAACATTTCTCAGATTCAGTATTAGGTTCAAAGTGAAATGTTTGATAATTAAACAATACACACTGTAACTAACTAAATGAAATCTATAATCTGCGTCACGTGACGTGACACTATACAATTGTTGTGCTTTGTTACCGCGGTAACAACACGAAATTTCGGGATAAATTAAAGACTTAAATACTTACGTTAAGTTTTATCAGAATCATATAAGAAGTATTTCGCTTGAAACATTCTATATTTTCTGCGATTATTGTCAAATCAAAATAATAAATTTACACTTACATAGTTAGATTGCTTTCCATTATTGAATACGTATGTTTTCTATGTTCGCGTATTTTTTTGCATATCCAAGCATATTAATAAATGTTCTACTTCTTTGTCTGACCTGTCTTATAATTAATATAGTTTAATAACTATCTATGTGATAACTTTGTAAAAGGAATATATAATATAAAATCTTTTTAAAAGTGTCAAATAAAGGAGCATGTACGAAGCCCGTTGAATGCAACCGAATCTAATTGAAACCCGTGCGTTTCCTGTTACCAACTGACGTATATCGGCTCTATGGTTTCGAGTAACAAAAAGGTTTTATATACATATAATACTCTAAACAAACAACTGTCTATACTGATATTATTTAGTTTGTTCATACATATTAATAGGAGCCAAATTATGTATATTAAAATTATAGAGACTTGCTTTAGTTGTGGCCTAGTGGTTAAAGGGCCCGCCTCTCATGCACGAGGGCACGGGTTCGATCCTGGCCCGGACAAGCACCAATGTGATTTTTCCGAGTCATATGTATTTTCTATGTATTACTATATAGTATTTAGACATCACTGATTAATGCTGAATCCCAAAGAGGGTTGATGTCAGGCAGGCGGCCGGTCGTAAAAAAAGCAAATACTGGCTATACCTGGAAAATGGCCAGGTAGAAAAAGACAGACTTGCTTTAAATAATAAAAACATTAATAATTTCAAACCTATTCTAAATTCCAAAGATAATTCGTATTTCATTTCACTGTAACGAATATTAAGTCTCGGTGACATATGTAAATATGTACATAGATTTCGTGTTAAAACTACCGTTCCACGTACGTCATAGCATGCGCATTTTATTTTTGTAATCGAATCTATCTTCCTACGCGGAGCAGTTGTACCTTTCACACTGAATTTTCATATAGAAAAAAATACTAACACTTAGTATAGATATTTTTTTTTAATAAATATCAAACTAAGATTCATCATGTGACTGACACGTGTCGAATCACGTAAGGAGGTCCCATATCATTATCAGTTTTATTCGATTAAAAAAAAACATCGTTAATATCATATGTTTTAATTGACCTTATATAACCTATATATATTTTTCAAGATGGTATACAATTTATTTATTTAATTCCTTCTCATGTGTGGTACGTTCTAAAAGCGGATCTCGAACGTCAATGATCATTATCAGAAATTAAATTAATTATATTTAATTATTAATATAATATTATACATTTCCTGCTTAATAAGTTCCAACATTTTCTTTACATTTAGGCAGTTACGTTTCTTGGCTCTAACTTTACAGCTAATTATAGAACGATGGACATCTACGTCATTTAATATTTAGGTTAAAATTATACAATAAATTATGAGGTATCTATATATATAAAAATGAATTGCTGTTCGTTAGTCTCACTAAAACTCGAGAACGGTTGCACGGATTAAAAAAATTGATTAATTTCCGGGAAAACCCTAAAAACAGAATAGAGTTCGCCCGGTCAGCTATACATATATTATTATTAATGACGAAATTAACGCGGACGAAGTCTCAGGCAGAAACCAGTTAATAATATTTTTCATGACTAGTTGTTGATTGAGGCTTTGCCTGTCAATAAGTCTTTTGAGGTATGCATATCCTTATGAGGTTTCATTCGTCAAATAAATAATATTGATAATTGTCCTTTAATTGAAGAAGTAATGACGTAATAAAGTCGAATTGAAAACATCTTTTTCGAAGACGATAGCTTAAATTATTCCTACCAATCAGAATTTATTGAAATACCCTTCAAAAAATTAAAAATTATTAGAGAACGGCAGTAATGAGCAAATAGGAAGACGAAAAGTAGTAAATATATATGTATATAAATTCATATTCATTAATAAATATTCTCTGAATTTGAAGTTATATACAGACACTTCAATTTTATTTATTACTAGGTGTAGACTATAAATATTATACTTTTTCTGTCGTAAAAGAAAAACTGTCTTGTAGTATAATGTTTTCAATTAATTTTTATCTCCTATTTAAATCAATTGGTGACTTCTAGATTATAATTATTAGTCATCATTATCATATCATTAATAAGAATATCACACGCGCAGATAAGAAGATTAAGTTTATAACAATAGTAATATCAGCGGAAAATCTATATATATCTACCAGTGGCGGCTGGTGGGTAATCAAACTGGTGGTGCATTTTACTAAAATATTGAAATTAGAAAATGCAATAAAACATAACGAGATGTCAATCATGCCGCGGCCGGCCGTCTCAATTCGTCATACATCGGGTGCTCTCGGTAATCTTCGGTTCTCGCGTGCGGCGCTCGAGAACCGATTCATTACTCGGTACATTTCTATGAACTATCTTTTGTTTCACGCGTCAGGCGTATTAATGCGTATCCCATACAAGATGTATTAGCAGTCCTCGTGCACTCGCCGAAGCGCACGAGAGTTTAGTAAAGCGCTCAAACTTTTTGACTATAATTAGGATTTTTAATTTTTTATACGGTTTTATATGTTTAAAAAGTAAATATTAAAATGGTAATTTAATAATAAAGATGAAGTAATATTTTGTAATTTTTAAATCTTTTGAATTGGTGGTTCAGCGCACGAGTGCACTTAAGGTACAGCCGCCACTGATATCTACATAGATATCTACATATATATCTATGTAGATATATCCACGTATACAGGATGACTGGTGAATTACTATCAATATTTAAGGAGCATACTCGGTACATGATTCTCATTCGAATTATGTAGAAAGAATAGGCACTTAATTTTTGACAAAATTTTCGTATAAATAAATAAAGTGTGTACACGTTCCAAGTGTTCCAAGTGTGGACGCGTGCGGCGGCGTGCTGATACAACAACACGCCGCCGCGCGCCAGTGTGTGTGTGTGTGTGTGTATACCTAATCTGTAGGGTGTTCACACGATGCGTAATTAATTACATAACTTTTGGTTAACTTTACTTAGAAGTTTATTAATATTTATGTTATATTAATTTTTATTTCGTCATATACATATGATCGTCAAATATCACGTCCTCAAATATCGATAGTAATTCACCAGTCACCCTGTATATATGTATATATAGATTAAGAAAGTTGTGTTAATTACACTATTTATAACTCAAGAACGGCTGTAGGGATGTGGTTGAAAAGTAGATGAGAGATAGCTTAGAACCAGAAGACGGATATACGATATTTAATTCTGATCAATCGAAAAAGAAAAATAACTTAATAAATTGTAATACTCTTGAACAGAGTAGAGATCGCCCGGTCAGTTATACATATATTACTAATTCCGAAATTAACGCGGACAAAGTCGCGGGTAAAAACTAGTGTTTTATATTATTTGAAATACATTCTTTGTGCTATTAACAGATGTTAGAAATTTTCATAGAGTTCTTTTACAATTTGCTAATAATAATAATAACAAAATGTTCATTATAAATACCTCATAAGCAGAATGAAATAATCATAAGAGTAACTTGAATAATAAGAAGAACGAATTTCTGGCAACCTCAAATCATGCCGCGTTTGATAAGTTGCAACGACTGGTTGTCTGGTTGGGTTATAAATCATACAAAACACAAAACTGTTCGACCAATAAATGAACGTTGTTATTTTAGCATTCATTTTAAACATAATAAGATTCGTTTGAATGAAATAATTTCGCTGCCTTGTTAAACGTATTGGTTTTAAAGGGATTATTCATCGACAAATACTAATGGACGTGCCTTAGAGATGAGAATTGTGGCACTCCGAAAGAAAGGAAACGAAGTTTCGGTCTATCTTTATCTCTCTCAAATTTATATGCCGTGCTTGTCATGAAAACTGAGCGCCAATCATCTATTAGGAAAGAGATGGCGCTAGACCGAAAGCATAGTCCATCTCTCTCACTCTTTCAAACCAAAAAATTTCTGCAGATTATACGTACGGCATGTCCATTAGTATATGTCGATGGGATTATTATCGAAAGCCAATCGAGCCAGCAATTTCTTGGCCATGTCTTAATGTTGTTTTTGTTTCATATTTCATTGATTATCTTCTCTCAGGTGGCCTGGGTACCCGTCATTGGGTGACGTTCATGTTGTTCCTGGGTATGGCGAACGCTTACATCATGAGAACCAACATGTCCGTCGCCATAGTAGCTATGGTTAATCACACGGCGTTGCCCGTCAAACAGGAGGCTCTGGATACTGAGTGCGGGAACGTAGATTCAAATGTCACTAAAGTGAGTATATACATTATACATTACTTTCTACTTTATATTAACTGTAATGAGATCTAAGACTTTAGCGAGTATTCGTATTATATTTTGGGATTACTTCTACTATTCCCACCGTTTCAGTTACTTTCCAGCAATCGTGATCACGATAAAATACGTGTAGTGATCTGATATTATTAGTTTAATTTATACATATTAACCCTATTTGAAATCGTACTAATAATATAAATTCAACAACTTCTGAACTTTTCTTGGTCTTTCAAAAACCACTGAACGAATTTTGATGAAACTTTCCAGTGATTTTTAGATATCAGAATAATACAAAGAATACCATTGAAAATTCTGTGTCTTAGGCACATTGTATGAAATATCACAAACTATAGATATCAGTTAATTACCATAATTATTATATTTTAGTATACAAATATTCGGCATAAAATTCTTACGCACAAACAGATAAATCCTCAGTATTAAACTGGTTTAATTATTAGATTTTTTGAGGATACATATATAAAATCTATTATTAGGTATTATTTTTGAATGTATATTCTAATAATAATAATTAGGTGGCGCAATTACAAGATGGTTCATTCGTGTGGAGCTCGAGTCTTCAAGGTTACATCCTGTCTTCCTTCTTCTACGGTTATGTCATCACGCAGATACCTTTCGGCATTTTATCTAAAAGGTATGTATATTTTATTATATATTAGCTGTGCCCCGCGGTGTTACCCGCGGATTTCCGGGATGTAAAGTAGCCTATGTGTTATTCCTGGACGTCAGCTTAATGTATACAAAATTTTATCAAAATCGATTCAGCCGTTTGAGCGTGAAGAAGTAACAAACATACACACACTCACAAACTTTCGAAATCATAATATTAGTTATATATAATTGTTATTACTTCTAGTATTCTGTGCTTCTAAGATGTATTTTGTAGAAGAATAAAATTAGTATTTGTAAAACCCAACAAGAATGTATCGTAAAATATTTTATTGGTTGTGGTTTAAGAGTTACCCACTTAAGGTTTATGATAATGATACATGTACTAAATGCGATCTGTAAATGGAACTTGGTTTATATTAATGATTAAAGAAAAACTTACATATTATTAAACTTCATTTAAAGTTAAATTACGTTAGATATGTTTGCAACCAAATTTAACACAAGCCGTTGGCTTTAATTTCGTATATTCCATTCGTCCTCTGGAATTCAACTTGATATAACTATGTTATATATAAATATATATATATATATATGGCTTTTATGTTTATATTATATTTGTATACGAAAGTGTAATTAACATATAACAAATTGCATTAAACTACATATTGTCAGTTTTGAGTTTGTCGTAAATAAAACTTCGCGTATGATACTATAGATATAGTTTGAATGAAAAAAATGGGAAATATTCTTCTGGTAGGTAATAAAAATTAATGATTACGGTCATGTTAAGATAAGGCTACTTTCACACTATCTTTCAATATATTGTATTAACTCTAATAGTATACATATATGTGTACTTGTGTAGTACATATAATGTCTTATGTGATCTAAGACTTGCGTACGGAGTTAAAATAATTAAAAAAGTCATAGTAATCCGAAAATACATATTAGTTTCATTTATACAGGGTGACTGGTGAATTACTATCGATATTTGAGGACGTGATATTTGACGATCATATATGACAAAATAAAAATTAATATAACATAAATATTAATAAACTTCTAAGTAAAGTTAACCAAAAGTTATGTAATTAATTACGCATCGTATGAACACCCTACAGATTAGGTATACACTGACACTCACACAGACGCGCGTCGTGACGTGTTGTTGTATCAGCACGTCGCCGCACGCGTCCACACTTGAACACTTGGAACGTGTCAACACTTTATTTATTTATACGGAAATTTTGTCAAAAATTAAGTGCCTATTTTTTTTACATAATTCGAATGAGAATCATGGACCGAGTATTCTCCTTAAATATCGATAGTAATTCACCATTCACCCTGTATATAACTAGCTTTCCGCCCGCAGCTTCGCCCGCGTGGTGTTCAGTTATATCGCTTTTCCAAGAGAGCCTTTCAAAAGTCTGGGATAAAAACTATCCTATGTTCTTTATCAAGATCAACTCTATCTCTGTACCAAATTTGATTAAAATCAGTTCAGTTCAGTGGTTTAGGAGTGAAAGAGTAACAGACAGACAGACAGAGTTACTTTCGCATTTATAATATAAGTAGGGATTACTACGCATCGGGCGTATCATCTATCGGTGATGCGAAACGAAACGAAAATATTATTTTTATTTATATATAATGTATTACATAGGTACGGCGCCCGTTTGTTCCTTGGTGTAGGCATGTTGATCAACTCCGTGTTCGGTCTACTAGTGCCAGTAGCGGCCGAGGCGGGCGTCTGGTGGCTCATACTAGTGAGATTCATACAAGGATTGGGAGAGGTGAGATAATAATACAAACATACACCTTATAGTAATAATACAAACATACACCTTATAGTCCAGATATATATTGCCGGGGACAGTGCAAATCCGCGTGAATACCAATGTATAATTCTGCGTATTTACATTGGAAGCAGATTATCAGAAGAAAGTTTGAGCTGAAATATTTTCTATGTTAACGACTTTTAAGATAATTTTTTCACAATTAGTAATAAATTAAACACTAAATAATGTAGAAATTTAAAAAAAAGAGTATTTAGACACCACTGACAGATGAAGGAAAACATCGTAAGGAAACCTGGACTTATAATTTAAAATAATAAGTTTAGAATCACCAACCCGTCTTGAGCAAGCGTGATGATTAATGCTCAAACCTTCTCCATGTGAGAAAGAGGCCTTTGCTCAGCAGTGGGCTCTGAGAGGCTGATGATAATAAGATGTTTTAATATACAGAATGACTACAATTCAGTTATAATCACTCAATATATGTTGTTTGAATCTTTATGCTTGTACTCAATATATATATAATTATATATTTGTTCCAGGGACCAATAGTTCCTTGTTCTCACGCGATGTTAGCGAAATGGATTCCTCCTAATGAAAGAAGTCGAATGGGAGCGGCGGTGTATGCTGGTGAGTAATATTTAAACGTCTATTATTGTGGATTAAGACATTCTCAAAGATATCTTTACAGCTAGATAATAACTTGGAATACAAATTATACTTAACTGCAATAAAATTCTTTATAAATGTATATGTATATCCGTTAACTTCTTGATACTTCTTCTTCTTCTACCTGGAAATTTTCCCAGCTTTAGCCAGGGTCTGCCAAATTCTTGATACATTTTATAGCAAAGTATCATATGAACAATGTAACCTTATTGATGTATGTAGTATTTTAATTTAAACCGTTATTAGTACTATAGATGATCATAGTACTGTTAATTTTAAAACAAAAACTATTTATATTGGTCCCGCTAACTAATTAAAAGTAATTATTTATAAGAATATTGTTAATTGGTAACAGGGATACCATAACCACATTATTTATATTCTTGGTAACTGCTATATATTTTTTTTATATTTCACAGTCTACTACTATCATTTAACATTACAATTAAATATATTCAAAATTTTATCAATTATACATATATTAAAATAAAATAATTTTCACGTTCGCCGAAAAAAAATATGAATAGGTCAGTCTAAGTTATATATAAAAAATATGTTCGTTAATTAGAATATCCACTAACACAATTAGGATTTGAACGTACGACCTATGAACATTACGTTCTAGTTTCATTCCCAACTAAACTATCCTACATAACTCTTTGATTAATACATATATATAATATGTTCTATATATTATTCCAGGTGCCCAGTTCGGTACAGTGATCTCAATGCCTCTGTCCGGTCTCCTGTCAGCCTACGGGTTCGCGGGCGGCTGGCCGTCCATCTTCTACGTGTTCGGACTCGTCGGCACTCTATGGTGCATCATGTTCCTATTATTCGTGTCCGAAGACCCAGAACAGTGTCCGAGAATTAAGGAGGCTGAGAAGAAATATATATTGAGCTCGCTGTGGGGCGCCGCTGGGTCAAGTGTGAGCTATATATCTTAATATCTACTAATATTAGTTTTCCGCCCGCGTGGAGTTCGATTATATCGCGTTTTCAAGAGAACCTTTCAAAAGTCTGGCATAAAAACTATCCTATGTTCTTTATCAAGGTCAACTATATCTCTATACGAAATTTCATTAGAATCAGTTCAGTTCAGTGGTTTAGTCGTGACAGCGTAACAGACAGAGTTACTTTCGCATTTATACATAATATTAGTAGGGATTATGTCGTATGACGTCATAAATATGATTTGTCATTCGTTCTCGTGCAAGATATTTGGATACAATGTGAGTTAGATACTAGTTATGTCGTATGACGTAATAAACGTGACTTTCATTCATTCATTCATTCGTTCTCTTAAACATATTGTAGATTCTATTTGATTTATACTATTTGATTTATACTGTAATATCTTTCGAAGTTTGTTATCTACTTGTATAGAGATCATTAATTATGTTATAATTCATGTAGATTTAATTTAATTTTTACTATCAACGCTTTAAACTTTAAAGGATCTTTTATTTTGAATGGGCGTCTTTAGAGGAATATATCATCCAGTTGTATAGAAATCATTAATTATACGATTTATATAATTCTAATTCCATTTTATTAATATATTTTCTATAATATATATGTTTATATAATATTAATGTTTATATACAGTCACCACCAATTCCGTGGAGCAAGATTCTTCTGTCCACTCCGTTTTGGGCTATAATGTTGGCACACATGGGACAGAACTATGGATACGAAACATTGATGACGGAACTACCAACATTCATGAGACAAGTACTCCACTTCTCCATCAAAGATGTAAGTTGTTATTTATATAACATTAATATTATAATTTTTTAGGAAAACAAACAATAAGATAAACTTATGGTATATGAATATACAAAATTACATATATCAGCTAAGTTTACACTGGTAATTAGACCAATATTAAAATTTAAAAAAGACTAACATACATAAAATCAAACATTAAAAACTATATATTGATTATATATAAAAAGGTTATAATTAAACAACGAATAGTATGATTAAATAAATTTGTACACAATTATTGTTGCTTTGTATGTATGGGTATGTTTTAAATTTCTCGTTTAAAACAAAATTTATTGTTACAATATGTTAAACTATAAATTTTAAACCTAGCGATACATTTATTATGATTGTCGAAGTTTTAATTTAAAATATGTTTATAGTCATAATTTTCTCAAGTACATAAGTGAAATTTAATTTCTTTTTGAAAAAGTATCTTTAACCACAAATAACATGACTAAAACCTTGAAAAATAATCACAATAAATTAAACTAAAAATAAAATGTAATCCGTATTATTTTTTCTTATGTAATAATATAAAGTATTTGTCATACATTATATAACTGATTCAACTCGCGAGAAGTATTAATAGTAATAAAACGATCCGCTCACATTAATCACACTAACTGACAGAGGTCAAGAGGCGAGTAAGTCAATTGACTCTTGAATCACAGTGTCTGCCGCGCCTTATATTATTATATAGGAACATGAATTTTTGGTTTAATAAAAAAACATCTATTAAATTTCATAAAAAACAAAATCATGACGAAATAATCCTATTAAACTCAGTATCTTGTCTGATGTAATAATAAAATTATATTTTAAACGGGTCAGTATTACAGATTACATTCATCAAAAATACACGTGTTATTACTACAATTGAGAAGTATAGGTAGAAATTATTTGAATTAATTATTAAAATAAACTGTATCTTGAGAAAGAAATTGTATTGTCGTTTGGAAATATCTTTTTATTTTACTTTTTATTACGAATTTGAATTTTATTTATATAAAAACTAAATCTCTTACAACCTTAAAGAATAAGGCCTATCCAGAACTAACATCAATTCATTATAAGAACTTTTTTACATATTTCGAAGGCAGTCCTAGTAGATTCTTTTCAAATTTGATTAGGTAGAGAGAGGAGCTTGGACGGTGGAGGTGAGCGTATAACGCGTTAGATAGGGGTCCCTTAAACCTACACCTGGGTCGCAAGTCCCAGTCACTGTTGAAGCTCCTCTCACTACAACGATGAATACATTGAATGTATTAAGTTTAATCTCATAATAATATTATTTATTCCAGAATGGCTTCGTCTCTGCTCTTCCATACTTATGTATGTGGCTCTTCTCAATGTTTATTTCCGTGGTCGCTGATTGGATGCTTTCAAGCGGCAGATTCAACCACACTCAAGTCCGAAAAATTATTAACAGTATTGGTAAGTAATAATAATAATAAATAGTACGTAAGTTTTTGAATTCTGACAGTGAGTTGACTATCTTTTTTCACACCCAAGAAACACTTGGTCATTAACGCGTGACTGGAATATCTGCCCTATTATTAGGGAGATATACAGGATAATAATAAGATTATTTTCCTAAGTATGTATGTATAAAGCCTTTTATCGACAATCAAAACAGATTATATTATAAAAAGATAATAAATCATCGCCAGCTCATTATAAGTCATGATTGATTTTATTGTGACTAATATATTGTATATGATAAACATTATGTTATTGAAACTATTATACATAATTTAGATAGGGTTATCACGAACATTAAATTCGTTAATATATTTCATATTTAATAGAAGTATAAGTCAGTTATAAAGCGAAAGTTGCAAACCCTATACGTCAAGCGCGATATACGCTCCATCTATTTAAATACATACCTACTTTTTCTGAGCGTATTCTAGTAATTAAGCATGTACAATCATAAATACATAAAAACTTTGGACTAAACGGATTGTTTCTATAAATGAACTCTTGTATAAAAATACTAAAAATACTGAAGAAATCACAGTTGATCAAAGATTCCTTCTAAATTATTTGCTATAATGTTACAAGTGGCGCCATCTGTGCCGTACTAATTGTAACATACTATAATCCTTAGAATTATTTTAATTTCTAATTGTAATTATTTATAATACTGAACCATTGTATTTTTAATGGCAACATTAAATAAACACTTGTATTTGAAAATTATAAATACTGGCTTAAGAAGTAACAATAAGTCGGCGTTTGATAATCCGTATATACAACGACTGTAAAGTATTTATCTATTATGTTTGACCTTTACCCTCTGTGTATTATATTTGACCTTGACCCTCTATATATTATATTTGACCTTTGCCTTCTGTCCAGGTGAATACGGCCCGGCCATAGGTCTGTTCATAGCTGCCAACACTGGCTGCGACCCAGCAGCCACGGTCGCGATACTCGCTGTGGGAGTGGGACTCAATGGTGGAATATACTCAGGGTTCAAGGTAATATTATTATTATTTATTCTTTATTGCACCCAATTCTAAAACTAAAAAATAACATTTTCGTTATATATTAGTTTTGCATTGCATTAGTTGCATGAGGTGCAACAGGTAATATTCTATTTATATACTTACTGAGACACATTGAATATAATATTATGTTGGTGAAAGATTTAGGGTGTATTTTATAGTATAACTAGTGAAATGTAACTGTCCTTCAAGTATTTGGGACTTAGTAGAATATTTTAGTGGTCTATATATCCCATTATATATACATACATATATAATTTTATGTCCCATGTGTGTATAAATAATAAATATAATCATTCATATAATAGACGCACGTCTAAAATTATTTGTAGCAGATTTTATACACGCGACATGCTGATAGACGATTGAAAAAAATTATAGACGAATAAAGGATTCATTTTTAAAACCAACCTAGAATATTTCCGTTCATTATTTATATTAGTAACCTGTAATGTTTATTATTATATAATGTAGGTGAACCACCTGGACATATCTCCTCGGTTCGCGGGCATCTTGATGGCATTCACTAACTGTCTCGCTAACCTCACCGGCCTACTGGCGCCCATCATAGCCGGCTACATCATCGAGGGCAACGTGAGTACACACACACACACACATACATGTACACATGCGTCAGAAATGTAAACAATCAATATGACCCATATGTATTAAAAAAACTCCTGTAAAGTTTCTCATCTCCTACAGAGAACTTCATGTTCACCAAATACGAAGTATCCATATAAGCAAAAAATTCATTGACACTTAAAAATCTTTCGAAACAACTAAATGCGTTATCACATATGCATTAAAAAGGTGGTCACTGAAAATCAAAGCTGTCGTTCCTGGGAATTTCACAATATATTATTATCTTAAGTAAATATAAAGAAATATTTATTTTAACCTCTAATTTTTTATTATTATTATTATTTCCTCTGTGTGTTGAATTCCTAAAACGATAGCATATGCTGAGTGAGTCTTCTTTTTGTGACATCATACTGCTGTGTAGACAGCATTTTGTTTTGATTTATTTATACCTTCTATTCTGTAATCTTCATTAGATATTATTTAATTGTGTTGTTATTTTATGTTTTTTATTTCTGTTTATGTTAGTGCTGTCTCGCAGAGATGTTCACAAATAAAATATTTTCTTTCTTTCTAAATTCTTATACATAAATGTTTCTAAATATATTGTAACTTTCTTCCACAGCCCTCTCAAGCTCAATGGAAGAAAGTATTCTACATCGCAGGAGGAGTGTATATATTCTCCGCGACCTTCTACAATATATTCGGCTCTGGAAGGAGGCAGGACTGGGACAATCCCGCTGAGGACGAAGCTATAGCGAAGAAAGCAGCTGCCAAGAAAAATAATAAACTAGAGAGACAAACGAACCAGAACACAGCGGAGACCGCGCAATAGATTATAGAGCGGCAAACACAACTGTCAACACCTGTCAATAACTGTCAAAATTGTCTATAGTCGACTGTCACTCAATACTGGCAGTATATAATTACTATACCATCGACATATACTAATCGGCATGCTTTAGAGATGAGAATTGTGGCACTCCGAAAGAAAGAGAGGAAACAGTTACGGTCTATCTTTATCTCTCTCAAATTTATATGCCGTCCTTGTAATGAAAACTGAGCGCCAATCATCTATGAGGAAAGAGATAATAGGCCATCTCTCTCATTCTTTTCAAACCAAAAAATTACTGCAGATTAGACGCGTACGGCATGTCCATTAGTATATGTCGATGGTCTATACTCTATAAGATATTGTCTATACCGAAAATTATTGAAAAGTAGCCAAATACATGTTTGTTTGTTTTTTTTTACTAATATTTGTATAGTTGTGTTTGCAGCCAGTTACGATATAAATTCCGATGTTAGTGAGCAAAATATTATAAATAATTTTATTGTGAATTATTTTGTTAGATTTTGATGAAAATGACTAAGGAGTGATGATAGTTGTGCATTTCCTTGAAATTTAGTGGTAAATGAAGCTTATATCGTATGCAAATAAAATTTGCACGTATATTAAGTGAGCCGTCATATTGATAATGTATGCAGTCTTTATTTATTGTATCTGAAATAAATTCATAAGACGCACATCAACGAGGCTGTGATTTGTGTCGATACTAACATGGAGCTTATATCGTGACGCTCGTTATATAATCCTGCTATTTTATTTATTACCATACAAGTATTGTTTATAACTTTATAGTTAGATGTCTGTGTAACAGAGACGCGTGCAAGGTGATAGTTATGTCGGGTCCAAGATTTTGATACGTTACCTTCCTAGACAGTAAACGTCCGGAAACCTCGCAAAAAATATATTATTTAAACTCGAATATAAAGTTGTTTGTGATTATTGAACGGAACATTGTTTTAAGACGCATCCATAATATAATCTGTGTCTAGTTTGTCAGCTGTCAAACGGTAAAGACTTGTTGTGATTTCAAACCCCTGCCTGTTCGCGTAGCGAATGTTGTTGCGGTAGTTGAGTGACCACTACACTACTATTTACGAAGTTATTCAAGTGAAAAGAATGAAATACTATAAGATATTTGTTTAATTCATATTTATACATAAAACCTCTTTGCAAAATATTAGTTACATTTTTATTGCTGGCTTATAAGTCAGCCATTACTGAAAGTTAAAAGAAAAAATAAGTTAGCACAAAACAATACGAAATAAAAGTAATAACTTCGCGTGTGGTGTGTAGTGGTCGCTTTATATTAAGATTTAAGTTATTTATATATAGCGATGTAGTGACGCGTCACACGACGCGCTAGAGCTAATGTGATCATACTGTTATTAAGTTACTATAAGGAGTTTTATACCGACGCTGCACACTATGAAAATAATTGCAAGTAAATACAAACACTTTTACTAGACGATAAATAAAAGTTTTATATCCATTTAAATTAATTTTAATAAAGTCTGTATAGTGTGCGGTGAACCTTTTCGATACCCATTATTCTTGTATTGTTGATATTTTACTGATTGATAATTATTCGTGACTCTCGTGAGAGATATGAACCATGTAATGTGTCAGACACAATACATGTTATGTGGTATATATTAATGTTTGTAAACTATACATATAAACAATTTTGAGAATACGAGTTTTTAAATTATATGAAGTTTTTTATTTCCTAATGTAATAGTCAAATACATAAATGATTGAAAAAAAAATCCCATATAAAATTTTACAATATATTTAAATACCTGCAATTATCTTAACAAACAACAGCGCAAACAGATATTTCTTAAGGCCCACTCAGTAACACGAGTAACTGAATCCTATGAACCTACTTTGACTTACAAAATTTTAAAAAAGAAGCAAACTAAAGTGGTAACCCCGGCCGTATTGTCAGAAATATACATACATGTGCCAAGTACATACAATATTCTTATCCAAGGTTATATGATGAGAAATAAGACTTTCGCGAGTGTTCATTTAAATGAATCTATTATCTTTTGTATTTACTACTCGATACTCCCGAAGTTTCGGTTACTTTACACTTTACAGCAACCGTAGACATGGGCAGACGAGATGTGGTCGCCCGAATTAATTATAAACGATAAGTAAATCCGAAAAATATTAGTTTTATTTCAAGTTTATGTGATGATGACATTTCCTGAAATATTTATGACATCCTAATGGGCTTTAATAAGATATGATGGAATACGTAATGTTACACTATAAATTATTGGAAATACAAGATGTGCCTACTTTATTCTCGCTTACAGTTAAAAGCAAATAAATTATAAAATACCATTTGAAAAACTGCGAACAATACCGTGAAAATCATTTGACTCTTCGTTATTTTCATTGAAATATAATTAAAATGGGTATATCGGTTCTATCGTAATAATAAATACACGGAATTCATTTTAGTATTCACTGACTCTCGCAATACTAACACGTAACCCCAAATACTATTGGACGAAGTGAATAAATTCTGTGAATGGATGGATTGAGGACAAAACCAAATAAATATCACCGTCTGTCTGTTTCTACGGTTTCGGAAAATGCTTAATTTAAATTTCCGGGTCTTAGCTTTTTCAACGATCTCAATAAGGTAGATCAACGATCAATTACGTCAAAAAAGCTTGGGTCTACCATAATTATCTAATATTACGTCTGAATTTGCCGTTCCTCGTCTGATTTGCACAAAACCCTTTCGTCAAAGTTAGATGCATAAATTTTAACTCAATGTGTTTCAAATTACTTACCCAGATCAGAGTAATTTAATTAAATGGTGTAAACAGTATAATGGATATGTATGAGAAACAATATTAAGTCTCAGAGAATATTAGTGCAACAAGGTTTAGGCCAGACATATCTTGTACTCGCGAATTTTAAAGTGCGTTGTGTTAATGATCTTACGATTCCTTGCAATGAGAGACCATGCCATCTAGGTCAATAATTAATACGAGGTTACTAACGAACTTACTAAGAATAGGTTCGTTGTAAATTTGTATGCGGTAGAAGTGGGAGCGAGAAGTACAACAGCTAAATCTCTCAGGAACCTTCTAAAAGACTAGTGCCTGTCCAGAACTAATATCAATTCATTATAAAAACGTACTTCGAAAGTTATTCTGATAGGTTCGTTTTAAATTTTCGTTAGGTAGAGAAAAGAGCTTGGACGGTAAAAGTGAGCGTTTAACGCTCGTTAGATAGGGGCCCCTTAAACCTACACTTGGGTCGCAAGTCACAGGCACTGTTGAAGCTCCTCTCACTACAACGTGATGGACCCGACAGCCACACGATGAATCCATGGAATGCTGAGAAGTTTTATCTCGTCTTTATTTAAATTTTGGATTGAATTTCATTTATTACACTGCTGAATATAATAATTTTAATCTGAAATGAATATGTGTCTATTTTCTGTTTTTTATTAATTTAACGTTAAAAATATTACAAAAACTTCAACATATTGCATCGCTATTTTTTCCAAAACGGCTATGAAAATATTAAAAGCTGGGTTCTCAACTGATTTCAGAGACATTTCATTCCATCTCAGTCTACGCTCGTTCAAAAGAGTTACATATTAAAAGTTACATTTCGTCTTAGAAGGTTTTTATTAATTTCAAGATTGTCATGAATATCGTCATTAAAGGAACATACCATTGGTAAATATATATTTAAAAACTATAAATATTCAAGGATGGTATTTCTATTTGTAAGTATTAAGTGGAGAACAACTTCGTTGTACAAAATCATTTATTGGCAAAATTGTAACGACATGTGTTTCATTATTTATCGTAACATTATTCCATAGAATAAATTCAGATTGGACGAACGATATTTGTTAAGGAAAATTACGTTTTTGTTACATTAATGAACCTAATAAGTCATTAAATCAACAATCGATATTAAGATCGATATTGTACTTGAAGAGACGATCCTAATGCTTATTTACTAACAAACGAAGACCTAGAAAAAGAAAAGATAAAAAAAACGTTATCCAAAATTAGCATCGTCAGTTTTTGAATAGTTGCATCAGCAACTATTAATCTTTATCATATGTACTTCAACAAGCATATCAATTTCATATATCATTATTCAATATCATTTTATTTTGCAAATGTGACCATTAATTCTTTATTTAAATATACATATCACTTTAAGAAATACTGTAATTAGGTTGATAATCTTTAGGATTTGTTGAAAATAGAAACATAATATAGAAACTATCACATTAAATTGTGAAATGAAAATCCACATTACTTCTCTTCAACTTACAAGACTTGGTTTTATTAGTGTTGCACTTAATATAATCAGAAATGAACAAATTAACATTTCAAAGAGGAAAAATTCAATCGAAATACTTTTGAAGAAAATCTTAGTTTTATTTAAAACTAGAAGACCTGGCGAACTTCGTATCGCCCTATAATCAAGAAATATCTATTACGTTTTTTTATTTATATTTTTAGAAAAGGGCTGTTTTATGGTTTTCCCCGTAATGAATCAATTTTTTTCAGCTTTTATACCTTCCCTGAACTTCCACGAACATTTCAAGACTAAGATAAGATAAATCCGTTCAGCTGTTCTCGAGTTTTAGCAAGACTAAGGAACAGCAATCCATTTTTATATATATAGAAGAAGAAGATTATAGGATTGCACTACTGACAATATACTTTAAGTTCTAACAATCTAGACTCTACATGAACAATGAACATATCTAAAGAAATCGGACTTACAATGTTCGTAATTTAAAATTAACAATTTTTAAATAGTAATAAATGCAGTTCAGATTTTAAAGGGAATTGAATGAAGAAATGATAGAGACTAAAGAATGTATAAAATAAAAAAGAAGTTAAAGGTTTGTAAACGAAATTCGTTGTTTAAATCAAATTATACCTTGAAATCGTATGTGGCTAAAAAAAAAACAACAAAAAACAATTATAAAAATATATTTTATTGGCATATTAACTGACAACTTTACTGAAATGCTGTAAACTGAAGGAACCAGTGCCGGCTCGGCACGGCTGACCCAGCATGAGACAACTTGACGCCGATCTGATGAAATCTTTCTTAGAGTTCAACACAGCCTCCTTCAAGAATATCAGAGACGATTCAAAAGACATTTGCTGTAAAGGAGAAGTTGAGGCTTCCATTCCCTTCCTACTCATAGGCTCAAATATTCCATTGTACGTCATATAATCTGCTACTAGCGTCAAATGTCGCGGATCTACTGTGATTCCGTACACATTGAACACGTTCTGAATTTCTTTGATTATAACTTTATTTGCTGCTTCAATGCCGTATGTATTTGCGATGGCGTGGATATCGTTCGTGTATAATTTGTTCATATCTAAGAGGTGACTGTATTTGAACATTTGTACTATATTGATCCCTTCAGTTTTCAGATATAGGACGTCTTTTTCCTTGTTAGTGATGGCCCGTTTGATGTGCTTGATTTCGTATATGACTGAATGCTTGGCTGCGTCACGTAAGGCTTGGGAAAGGTCTACCCTCAAGAATGCTATCGGGAAGAACACGGTTAATTCACACCACTTATGGTTCTTGGTGTCAAAGGTATAGTTTGACGCGTTGTTTAATTTTCCAACTACTTTTTCCATGGTCTTTGCATCTTCCTCGTTTACTTCTTCGATCATTTCAAGGTCATCGTCTTTGTCTTTTATATTTTCATCTATTTCCATTTCGTCATCAGATTTCTCTTCCTCTTCTGATTCTGGATCTTCGTATTCTTGTTCTTCGGAACGTTTTTTGCGGATTCTTACCTGTAAAAATATTGTTTGGTTATTGCATACTCAATATAATATACGCTGTTTCCTTTACCTTAAAGACCTATAAAATATACCTTTAAAATTTAAATGTTTTAATACATAAATCTTTCGTGAAAACCCTTCATCATGAAAATGTATTTTAATATCTTGCTACAACAGTTTAGTTATCACTTAATACTTAGTGCATTAATTCATTTTTGAAGTCTTCGCGACGTCTCAGAAAATCGCGATCTATGTGTAAAGACACTGCTATGTCCTAAATACTTACGTCTGTATTATCTTCATCATCATTAGGCCCTTCATCGTCCGAGCTGTCCAGGTCCTGTCCTTGTCGCTCCTCAACCTCGGGAGAGTTGTCTTCATCCTCTTCATCATCAGCCACGCGACGTTTCTTCTCCTTCTCCGCAGCCCACAAAACCCCACAAGTACTCTTAGCCTGTTTACGGATAACTGAAAACATCTCGTTGAAGAATTTATTCTCCATGTGTTTTATTATTTGCGGTGGCTTCACAGCATATTGCGTTTTATATTGAGATAACGGTAGAAAAACGAAACGCATCGTCGTCTTCAACTGCCGTTCGGGCTTTGTAACAATTTCGCATTGAACTTCAATCTTTTCCAAAACGTCCGACACCGTAACTCTGTTCATTTTTTGCCTCAACTTCTCAGCTTTTTTGTTTAAATCTGCTATATTTGGTAAGAAGGGTATGTCCATATTTGGAGTTTTCAATTGAGCTGATGCTGTCATTAAAATTTCTCTCAATCGTGGTATACCTAAAGTTACGTTCATGTCTCCTCTACCAGCGAAATGGAAAGTGTTCAATGTCATTTGCGTGGAAGGCTCACCAATAGATTGAGCCGCTAACAAGCCGACTGGTTCTCCGGGAGCAGCCATAGATTCTAAATATTTAGCGCTCATTACTTCTAAAAACTTATCCTTTTCTGTGTACTCGTTGTAACTAGATTCTGTTCGATTTTTCAAATAATTTTGAATAATACCGTCCAACTGTTCATTAATTGTTCCAAATTTGTATTCAGGTGATAGTTTGCTGGGGATTGGGTCGGGACAAGGTTTTCTGTAGTATTGTTGTCTTTCTTCCTCGTCCAATTCCCGCCACATTTTTTCTAATTCCCAATAATAAGGATCTCTTGTTTGATCTGTAGGTAAATCATCAAGAACTATGTCCTTTCTAACTAATGAAGAAAACTTCGCAAAACCGCTTGTTCGAATCTTCTCGAACGGACTTCCATTTTTCTTCTTCCACTTTTTCAATGATTTTTGAGCTTTAGCTATAATCTTCGTATCGGTTTCGTCTTTTAGTTTTTTGATCACGGACTTTCCAACTACAGCACTAGAATTTTCATCCAAGAACTTGAATTGTCCATCCTTTAAGAACTGGCATTTAAGAATATCAAGACCGTCTTCGCCATAAGCGAACTGTATAATGCTACTATCGGCGTCCCTGACGGTATGGTCATAAGCTACACTCAAACCTTCCAAATGCTTAATCAAACATCTCTGCAAGTACCCGGAACGACTTGTTTTAACAGCAGTATCAATAAGACCTTCTCTACCGGCCATACAATGGAAGAAGAACTCTTGTGGTTGTATTCCAGTCATGAATCGACCATCGATGAAACCTCCCGCTCTAGGAGAGACATCATACGGAGGAAAGCTTGGCAGTGATCTACCAGATATCATTAACGGCGGTCTTTTGCCTTCTAATTCTATCTGTCCAAGTAAACATGAAATTTGCATAGTATTGACAGTCGAACCTTTTGCTCCCGACTGCACCATGAGTTGTAAATTATTTGATGGGAACTTTTCCAATAATCCTTCAGATAAACATACAGTATTTATATTATTTGTATACGAATCTAACATATTTTTATACTGCCTGTCAAGATTTGCGCGGAATTTAGGATCTTTAGTTAACATTTCAGATATTACATCTTTCAATTTTTGTTCCTCTACGTCCGCTGGAACTTCTGTTGCTTTCACAGCCGCTACTCTGCCAGCTTCTCGAACCAAACTTATAATTTCATCACGTTTTTTGTTAGCTTCATCAACCACCAAAATATCTTTTACGCCTAACGTAAAACCTATCCATTGCAGATAAAATGTAAAGACTTTAGAAAAGGAACTAAGGAGAGCACTTGAACTGTCTCCCCCATATAGTTCATACATACAATGGACCAAACCGTATGGTGTAGCCCCATAGTGAGTCTTATCTAATACACCACTCACAAGTTCACCTTTCCTAATAATAACTTCTGCTTCTGTCATGGTGTTTGGATTTTTAAATGGTGTACCACCGGCCTTCCATGGCCTAGGAGCTTCTTTTTGCCAAGCTTTAGCACTAATTTTGGCTTTCCCTTCTAATGATAAATAAGGTTTCCCTTTAGGTATAGTGTTGATAATTATTGTCGACATAACTTGTTTCCCAGACCACAGCACTGCTGGTTTTAAAATTGTTGGTGGTAGCAATTTTATTTCCCCTTTATGACTTGAAAGTGCTTGGAATACAAGCTGTTGGTAATCCGTTTTATTGAAAAACGTGCCTCTAAGTGACATCCTCACTCCAGCAATAACGTGATCCTGAATCAAACCGCTTAAAGGAGTTCCGTCTTTGGGAACGAGATATTGTTTCCTCACAGACATGATATTGTAGGCTTCACTTCTAGCGATTTCATTTTGCGGGAAATGTGCGTTCATTTCATCACCATCAAAGTCAGCATTGTATGATTTACAGTTAGCATAATGAAGCCTTAGAGTTTTTTCTCCTTTGAGTATCCTCGCTCTATGTGCCATCATACTCGGCTTGTGGAGTGATGGTTGACGATTGAGTATTAAAACATCCCCATTCACTAAATGTCTATGAACAATTTTCAATCCCGACGATTTATACTCATCTGGTGTTAACAGTTTCTTTGCAAGGCTTTTTCTTTTCTCTATTGAGTCTGGTGGTATTCTAATTATTCTTCCATTTTTCACTTCTAATTTTTCAGCTCCGGGATGGACATTTGGTCCATTAATTACCATTTTCCTTAATTCATCAACATTCCATTCTGTGACGGGAACTGGGTATGTCAGTTTAGTGGCGAATGCATCAGGGATACCTATTTCGTCAATATCTACATTGGGATCAGGTGTGATTACAGACCTAGCGGCGAAGTTCACTCTTTTACCCATCATATGCATTCTTATGACTCCAGTTTTCTTTTCCAGTATATGTTTTAATCCTTGACTTGTAGTACCTTGTCCTTCACATGTTAATAGATAGTTGATATGTTTTTGAAGGTCTTGCCACACTGTATGCAGTTTTTCAGCTGGGGTTTCACCCATAACACTTTCATAGGCTTGCCTTGGCTGCTGCTCTAAGCCATCAATAGCTTTCTGATGTTGAGGCGTCATTAGTACTTGTAGAACGGCTCTTGCACTATAAGCAGATTGTAGGATGCCTTTATACACATTGGTTTGTGGATGTTCCATCAATTCTCCACGCAATACATTACAGGGCCTAACAACCGGTGGCAGTACAGGTACAACTTGCATGAAAAAGATATCAGTAACTGGATTAATATTAATATATTTCAATATAGGCACACAGTGTACTAAGATATCTGAATCCTTCTGTTCTATAGCCCTACAATATCTTTTCAAATCATCCGGCATTAATATTTTAACACCTTTAGCACCTTTATCAGCACTCATGTTATACATTATTTTTCCATCGGATGTTGTTACTTTAATTAATCTATTCTTACAATACATACATAATTTTGATACACTCAATGCTTTGAAATAATGGTTGATGATTTTCGTTCTTAGTTTGTCAGTATTCTTATTTTGAAATGTTTCAAACACAGGATCCTTGTGTTTAAGCAGTTTTTGGTATTTTCTTATAACTTTATTTGGTTTTTCAGGTGATGATTCATTTCTGTACTCTTTAACATCACCCACATAATTTTCCAGGTCCAGTGCAGCGGTAACATGACCAGCATCAATCAATTCCAGTTGTAATTTGAGAATAAACTTCATTCTATCATCCATTTGTATTTTGAAACAAGTAAGACATGATATACGAAATATTGTGTAGATATTTTTGATGAATACTGGATTCACAACAGTTAGGGGTAATTCTATATGTCCAAAATGTCCTGGGCAGTGTAATAAAGAATTGGAGCAAGTGGCACAAAAATCATTTCTCTCCCTGAGGGGTCCAAGAGCCGGGTCATATAATCCTCCTTTATTGGGATTGCCCATAGCGTCAAATGATACAGTGTTAGTTATTTTGGCAACACTAAGTTTTTTAATGTCGTCATCCGTAAACATCAGAAATTGTACAGAATCAGGATCCACCGATGTCAGGCCTGTTAAGGCAGATGTGAATCTTGAATCGAAGTCCATTGTTAATCTGTAATAATGTATTGCGAGATAAATAAAAAAAATACACAGAACTTAACCTAGCACTAGGAATAGTATCAAAATTTTCCTAAAAGCATAATATAGAGGCAAATTTACGTTTGTTATTGTTTTCGGTTTTTGACACGTAAAGTATACTTATACATTAAACAGTTATTATTCAGAACAAAACTTAAAATTCATTAAATTCGGCTTTTATCCGTAGGAAAACGTGCACAACAGCATTGTATATTCCGTCAATGTCAAGTGACAACTTTGAAGTTATATACCTAGTATTTACCCATTTAGACAATAGAAAGCCCAAGAAGATTGATTTTTGATGATTGTTATTTCAATTATAAAATTATCAGAAACATTTCTTCATTAAAAAGATATGCATTCATCTATATCTTTATAATTTAGAAACATGGTTATTGTATGGACTATATGAGATTCATTCACTATCTTACAATATTCATAATAAATACAAATATGTAAGTATATATATATATTTTTTCAAAATGAAACAAAGATGTTTTGCTGACACTTACTTTAAGCATCTTATTTTATATCTCAATCTTTAACTTTTTCTTAAATCATCATTGCAGAAAAAATGTTGCTCTTTTAAAAACAGTAGTAACTTTTTAAGTCAGTCAGTCAAAAAGCAATATGGCGGCACAAGATGAAGTTGACGTATGTGAAAGTTGGGAGGATATGGACGAAATTGGCGTAAGTATTTCAATGAAAACCGACTCCGAATTCACGCTGTCCTTTTATGTTGAGGTCATCAAACTATGCATAATTCATCTCTGTTGCAGTTGGACCAGAAGATCAAGCTGATGTCCAGTGTCCCGCCAGTGACAGCGTTGAAGAGTTGCAAGGTTACTAACGTAATAGTAGAGGATAACGCGTGCATAGGATCACAGTGCGTGATGCCAGAGCCAGCTATTCGTATTTTAAAGCGTCCTTCATCGTTAGCGAACGGACAGCTGAACGGAGAAAATCGCTCGCGGCCAGTTAAAACATTAGAACAAAGACAGAAAGAATATGAAGAAGCCCGGTTGAGAATACTCGGTGAAGCGAGGAGTCCAGAAGATGTTATTGATGATAAGTACGTGTACCTAACAACTGCTCAGTTACACAATTTACAAAACGTCTTTAACACTTACAAAAACTAACTCTTCACAGCTGAATAACAATATACAAATACCATGCTTAGATTTCCATCAATTCGAGACTCTCTAATAATTATATCTACGTAAAAATTATACATGTTTACTCTGCAGAATCTTATACATCAATATCTATTTATAAGAAAACTGGTTCCACAACTTTATACATTTATTTTTATCATAACATTGTTTCATTTCAGCCTCACGCGGCTACAAGATAAACTGCAAGCGAACAATATTAACGATAATAGTTGTAAAACCAAGAACTGTCATAACGAAAATAATACCAAAGGCAAAGAACGAAGGGTGTTAGCACGACTGCCGCCCGGAACAACGAATGCTGGTGTGTTCCCTTCACCTCCCCCTCCTGGGGTTCTCGTTATAAGGACCCCGAGAGGTCCCGACGGCACCAAAGGCTTCTTAAGAAGGTAGCGTTATATCATACCATATGCCATCATAATCCATCCACTCATTTATAATAACATAATTGTGATATATTCACAATGTCCTTATTAATTTGTTGCTATCAAATCTTACAGACAGAACCGGCTATGTACTAAGTAAACAAACTTTTAGTCACATATTGTTGCATATCTGACTTTCTTTATGCATTATCCTGTAATAAATGGATATATAATTAATTATTACTATTTTTAAATGAGTTGGTTCGTTCATTGTAATTGTGAATTAAATATAGCGCTCATTTCGGGAACAAACTTTATCTAATTGTAACTTATTACTTAGATAGTTATCTAAACTGAACAGTACTGATCAAGTTAGATCGAGTGATGTTGGTGCATAATATAGTGCGAGAGCTGTTACGACTAATGTAAATACATGTATGCCTTAAGGACATAGTATAATACACTATGTCAGTATGCCGAATGGCACAGTGCTATGACTTTGGTCATCTCTTTGATAGGTTTTCATTTTAGAGTACGCTAGTGTAAGACAAATGTATATATTTTAATTAGATTATTATTTGTGACAATGCAACCAATTATAAATATTGTTGGGTACGATTAGCTCTTAGACTATTCCTATCAGTTGATATAGTTGGTTGTTTTGTCACAAATAGTACTTAAATGGTGCATTATATTCAAAAGCTGAATTGTATAATTCTAATCACATTTTAAAGGTTTACATTGACTCCATAATACTGTCGTAAAATGATATAATTTTGCTGTTAGTAATGCATGAGAATGATGTAAAATTTCACAATTATCTTTCCATATTAATAGTTTAACGAAATCTGTGAACATTCTCGCATTTCATTGCGCTGTCAACGATTATTATATGAATTTTAACTGAATGTTTTGTGAGAGGATGTATTGTTGTTTCAACAATTGAGCAGGATTGTGTGAGTTAATTGTAAATGTTAAAATGTTACTAAATTTTAAAGAGCTTAATGTGTTTTTATAACTGACTAGCAGATATATTTTTTACATTTGTAGTGACATTAAACTTAAGTACATTTGTGTATTTAATAGAATCATTTAGTGTATAATGATTATGGCGAAAGTAAGATAGCATACAGAATTAGATAAGTGTTGCAAATATCTATTGTAAAATAAAATCTGATTTCCTCCCATATGTTCTACATTTATATGGTTATGTCAAAATTACTTAATAAGATCCTAAGCACAAAATTAATCAAGGCATTTAAAAAAAATAAGTGTTATGTGCTTTGTAAATGAAACTCTGGTGGGCAGAATCAGAATAAGTTTGTGCCTTGGTCTTAAACCCTCTTGGTATTTATAATAAAAAAATAATGCTTTAATTGTAAAAAAAATACATAATGTAATCAATTCTTCTAATTGAGTTATGTTATCTTATTCTGTATTCTATAATAACTTGTAATTTTATGATATTATAGTTGTAATTTCAATAAATCCTGTAAATATACATATATTTTTTTGTAACATAATGTTTTGTTTTTTGTAATTATGGTCAATTCGTGCCAATCAACGTATTTATTGCTTGTGTTAGTTTTATTCATAATTTTTTTTAAACAACGTGTTATTTTGACGCCGTGTCCAAGACTGATGTTGAATAAACAAAATGTTTTTGACCAAAATTATTGCTTGAAGGACATCGGAGCGTATTTAAGAGTAAAGGTAGTTAACAAAATTTAGAGTAAAAAGTTACTTTTCTAAACACAGTGCGTGTAATTTGGTCCTATCTGTGTGATACGCCGAATCGGATTTCATCATTTTAAGTTGTAGGTATATTATTTGTCTATGGTTTTGTATTTTAACCCAAATTGATTATTAAAACGTTCAAAAGCATATATATTTTTTTATTATTTTGATTTTAGGTTTTCTAATAATTGGTAAGTGACTTTCGTGAGTAATTATTTTTGAAAAACCTTTTAACGACAAATGATTTTCTGAGGCTTTAGGAAATTACTGCAGGAAATTTTGATTAAATTACTTATGTCACAACTAAATGTAAACATTGCACAATAATCAAGCTTTCTGTTTTTCATGAAGGTGTAAAAAGAAATCGTTTAATTTAAATGTAATTCAATCTTCATGAACTACTTAGTCTTTTGATGAAGTTATAATCATTGACCTTTGTATAACTGTAGTCTTGGGAACCGTAATTTTAAATATAGCGTAAATTCTCAATAACTTATTTTAAACAACCATTAGTAGCTATAGACTTTCTATAATTAGTTTTAAGTAATCGAATGTCTAAAATCAAAACCAAATTGAATTCAGTGTTCTATTTACTCCCTTTTTGTTATATTAAAAACAAACTTCTAGTAGAATGTTAATTATGTCTATGATTAATAAAACGAATATTCGACAACCTGGCAATACTATGAAGATCTAAAGTAGCAAGATTTAAATTTCAAAATTCAATTCCAGTAATTATAAATTAATAAGTGATTGTGAGTGTCAAAATTTTAAGAATTACCTAAAAATTTGTTCACTATACACTCAAATTTCGTGTACATTGTGTAATAAAACATTAAGTAACATAAGAATATCTGATAAAATAATAATTGCGTAATATTTATCGTAAACAAGTTATACATTTGCATACTCGATGGAAAACAAGCTGAGTTAATAAAATTAATAATCTAGTTTGCCTTTATACTTGGTTTTGAATAGACCGTCAGTTTAGCTGGAGTTATAAATAAATAAACAAAAATGTCTGGCTTTGAGAATCTAAGCGAGCGTGATCGCGCTGTTCTTAGAAGTATCTTTGATCCCACGGCGACTATTGGTGATGTTGTTGATGATGGTGATCATTTCCTGGATGATGAAGGTGAATTTCCTATTTATATACATATATAACATATCTGTATATTTAGAAGTAATATGGTACAATATTTTAAATACAAATTGAAGTCCAAAAACTGCATATAACACAAGCAACTTGTACTCTATCAAAAAACGAACATTCATCTAGTTTCTAGAATCTTTCACAATATTAATCTATATTATTTTAAAATATTTAAGATTCCGAAGTCAATACGGAGGCAAAATCGTTGTGCGTCAAAGGCGTTCAATTAGCTGAAGCCGGGAAGTTAGAAGAGGCCTTGGAATTACTGAACAGGAGTATAGACATCGCTCCTGAACGTGCACCTAGCTACAACGACAGAGCACAATTATACAGGCTGTTAAAAAGAGATGATGGTTATTATTATCTTTGTTGTTTAATAAGTAATATTTCTATCGAAGAATTCGTTTTCGTATGTAAATATAAGAAAAAATCCGTGTACTAAAGATATTTAAGATATAGATGAGAGGCTTTGTTGAATCTGTACCTACTAATACTTCATTATCGTTATCTAGATTCGTTAAAAGACTTGGAAACAGTTCTTCAGTTGACACAAGGTAAGTCCACTCGTACACGCGCGCTCGCTCTGTGCCAGCGCGGTGTTCTTCTGAGGAAGCGTGGGGCTGATGATGAAGCACGCTCCGACTTCGCTGAGGCCGCTAAACTTGGTAGCGGCTTTGCTAAGAAGCAGGTGCGTTCCAATCCTTAGCTTAGCTTGATATAGGAGATAGATTTATATCGATCGACTATATTGATCTATATTATGAATGTGATCTAAAAATGTTACGAGTGTTCACTTAAGTGAAACTTATATTTTTGGCTTACTACGCGTTGTTTTATTTTTTCAAAAAACGACAAACTTGTGACGTTTTCGTAACTTAGTGGCAACCGTGATCATGGATTACATCTCGTCTGCCCGTAGTAATCCGAAAATATTAGTTTCATCAATACTATGAATTTATAAAAATTAAGACTGTGGTTTTAAAATTCTCTATTCAACTGTCGTTTTTAAAAATGTGTTAATAGTCACTACTTCATACGAAAGACGTATCGAATATTTTTCTCTTATTATTATATAAAATGACTTCGATTCGTTAAAAAGAGCTATCTAGCAACATTAAGAGTATTAATAGATGAATAATAACATCACTGTAAGTGATACTAGCCTGCTTGAAAATATACCTTTCATAGAAATTTCCCGTAGTTTTTGATAGTCAATAAAAGTAATAAAATTCTTCATATTTTGTAACAGATCATTGATCAAACTGGTTATATAAGCATTATTTAATGATCTCGAGTTGAATCGAGATCTATAAAGATTATTAAGAATTTAACTAGAATATCGGAATAGTATATAATTATGTTATTACTTTCAACAGGTGGTCGAGTTAAATCCGTACGCTGCTCTCTGTAATCAAATGCTGAGTCAAGTAATGAGAGGCGAAAAGGATATTAAATTATAAATTGTTGACGTTAAAATAAAAATATATACATTTACTCTTCATAAGATTTAAGATTTTCGCGAGTTTTATTCATATAAATGAAAATAATACTTTTCGGATATACTACGCGACTACTTTAATTTTGTAAACGCGACTATTTTAATACTTTATTTTTGTAAAAAAACTACATACGTAGTCGCGTAGTATATCCGAAAACTATTAGTTTCATTTACATTTACTTGTTTTACGATGAAGTCATAAAAAGGTATAAATAAAACACTTTTAGAGTCTAATGGATTAGAAATTTATATTGAGTACATTCCACGATCACAATCGAGAAGAAACAAACACTTCTGAACGGACGAGGTCGCCCGCCGCTCACCGACACGTTTGAAATGACAATATTACATTCTAAAATGGCAAATGTAACTACAAATTGAAATCTGTTACACTACACTAATAATATGCAATAAATATAAAAAAAGATATGCCAGAAATATTTTTTTTTATATTCCGAACATATTCTTTTGAAATTTAGATAAAATTTATAATTTGATATATTAAAACTAGTGAGAGGCAAAGGTAAGTTGTAACGCAAATATAAGTGCTCTTTTAGAGTTAAATTTTATTAAGTAGAAAACTTTCGCGTTGAAAATTAGAAGATAAAAAAATTTTAAAAGGTAAACGTTTTCCAAATGTCTCCAAAGTGGGGATAAATTATATGTTTTGGCACCAGTTTTTTAAATTATGACATTTAACGAAAAGAAATTGGCGGACATGGTGTTGACATCAAAATTGGCGCGAAACAGTTCTACTTATGTGAAGGATGATTATCACAGAGATAGTTATAACGTGATTACATTCATTTTAATAGTTAGAATCGATCAAATATATTATGAATATAAGCTAATATAAAACACGATTGAATATTAATGGAAACTATCAACTATGGAGTACATTCTGAGATACATAATTATAATGTCACAGATTATGTTATATATAAGGGACGAAAAATATACAATAAAATATTATACTGTTTTGAGGCTTATACATATCTGAGTAAGTTAAATACGTGTTGACATATTAGAAATATCATTCAAATTACCTAATAAGGATAATTGTATGTTTAAAAATTTTTAATCTAAAAATTTTAAAATTTTACGAATTAAATATTCCTACGTCAAATATACTAACTAGATTCGGCCTTTATTAGCGTTACAGACATTTAGTGCGTATTGAGAATGTTGAGGTGAGAATCAAAATACGTCACAGGTGGTAAATATAAAAACATGAAAAATCATAAAAAACAAATTATGAAATAAAAAAATATAAACAAATTTATCATCAACGATAAAAAAATTGGGATTGATTTAAAGTGGTTTAAAAATATATGTATAATAAAATATAATATAAATATTTGGCACAGGCAACGTGCGAAACGTCAATGCGATCGTTACAGAGTATACGAGGTCCTGTAACACTACAGGCTTATACTATAATGAAGGTTAGGCCTACTTCACGTCCCACTAGAAACAACTCCACAAACAAACGACTCACGCTAAAACAAATACTGTTCTCATAGAACAACAAAAACTAAAGTCACTTGGTAATCAACAAAAATCATTTTGGCTTTAAAACTTAGTGACATTAGAAATCAACGTAGTAAAATCTCCCAATATATATATTACAATAATAATTTTGTTTAATTTCAATAAAACCAGTGTAATCTGAGATTCCGTCAAGCGCAAGCGATACAAGCTGTCAGAACGGACTCATGAATATTAAAGTAAGTTTTACATACATGAGATCTTAACATTATTAATATACAAGTTTTTAAAACTCTCATCGACATTAAAATACTAGCGAAGTGTTTTATAAGCTAGCAACACTACGTGATACATGTCATACAAACTATAATACTTTACTATGAGAATTGGTGTTCGGGGTGAAGTGACAAGATGCTCGTCTAAAATATTAGTGACGAAGCAACACAATAGCTATACTATTACGTGTATTTTCTTTTGCTTTACGCAATTAGTGTGGATTTATCTTCTTTTGGTATCTCAAGGTTTAAGTTATCTTTGTTGAATACTGATGCAATTTCTTAGCGTTTATGATGTTTCTGTTTTAAACCATTCATTAAGTATACAATACATCAATGCACTGTTCGTATTAACGTATTAACATTTCATAAGCTCATTGTTTTGGTCGCAATAACAAAGTATAGCTAGTGAGTTGTCTTGACATCCACGTACAGAGTATTACAACTAGAACTAGTAGTATAATATAGTATAACTAGACGTGACTGAGTTACAAACACTACGATACTAGAAGCGAGACTGGCCGGGAGGAGGGTTAAACACTTTTAATAAATAACTTAGAGAAAAAAACTATTGTTTCAATATTATAAACTTGTTCATATATATGTATATATTTGACATTATGTATAGTTTCAATATATGTCATATCTATGTATGTCTATGTTTTTATTAAAAGTGTTTCAATACTAAGGATGTATGGAACGCGATTGCATACACCACATGATAATATGACGTCACACTTTCAACATATTCATATAAAAAAAATCAAAATCAACATATTCATATAAAAAAAAACATACTAACATCAGAGTAATGATATTAAAGTCAACTTAACATCATAAACATATAATCATTAATCGAATATTTGGAAAGATCTCAGCATTAGTCTAAATTAAACCTTATTCCGTTGTAATAAAGTCGATATCATCATGTGGTGTGTGTTTCGCTGGACTCCGCGCTACTTGAATCCCTCTCCAGCTGTATTTATTATAAACTGACTCATTTTCTTTGTCAGACTAGAATGAGTCTAGAACATTCTACGTTTAAACCGAGACAAATCTCGCATTATTTAACTATAGATATTAAATAGCAAAGATTTTATCGTACTGACAATTTATTACGAAAATGAGTCAGCGTCATTAATATTAATATTAGAAATTATATTTATAAGTCATCCGAACCGTCTTAGATACTACAGACGATTCAACGGATCTTATTAGAAAATAATAATTAATATTATACCTTATGTACATATATTAAGGTACATTTTCTAATAACATCCAATATAATACTTATTCTAACAAATTAAACACATCTAAAATGTCATTTATTACTTCAATTTAGAATCAACAGCTTCATTTCATTTTAATTCACATTTATTATCTAACAAGAATACATTTTTTTTAATGTTTCATTTATTATAAATTATGTTAGTAAGGCTATTTAATATATTAATTAAACTGCGTAATCATTAGACGACGTCTAAACTAAATAAATAAAAAGAAAATACAAATTACACTAATAATAATAACAATAATATTACGATAAGTGACAATTAAATTTTGCCGTCTAATAATAACACAATGGCGTCACACACACATCCACACACAGAGACGCTCGAACAAAAACAAATGGTCAACAAAAATTAAATGCGAAAATAAAACACTTAAAATAATATAGACAATGAAAACTTAATGACGGCCGTCGAACAACCGTTAAAAATATTTATAGCGAACTAATACCATGTAAAAAATATATAAATAAAAAAATATAACAAATAGAATGGAGATTCTTTTTTTGAATTTTTCTTTATGGCGGGAAAAGGCCATTAAAAATTAAATGTCTAAAAGATTCAGCCAAAGTATAAAGAAAGGTTTCATATTTAGATAATACGTATAGGTAAATATGGCAACAAAATATGAATGTTATTTACTTAAGAGAATTTTATGAAATTTAAAATCATGTTAAAGTTCTTAAGAAATAAACTCCATAACAAACACACGACTAATCTAAAATACCAACACTGATATGTAAATGAGAAATTAATACATATATAGAAATTAAAGACAAGTTAGTACTAAACAGTTCACAAGGAAATAGGATCTTAAAGTTTAACAGATAAGGTCTAAATTCGCACGTACATTATGTATTACGTTCAAAAAGACTACAACATCCAATATTACGAAGTGGCCCCAATATCACGATATTGAAAGATTTTAAAGAATTGTAACACAAAAAAAACTAGTTTTAAAATGTAGATTTATCATAAGCGATTGGAAGATTTGAGATTTTTTATTTA